CACTTAAGCTATTGTTATTACCTGTTGGTGAAAGAAAAAAACGCTAACACTCCTCTAAACTTGTTCCGATTTTTTTCCCTCCAATTGATATCTCGGTTCCCACTATCAAAGGGCACACGTTTTATGCCGCAAATCGCCATTCGATGATGAATGGCCGCCAGTCTGTGAACGCCCAGCGGGCAACGAGTCAAAATATCACCGAGACACTGTAATTTTTTTCACGTTTTTTTTTCTTTCTTTTCATTATACCAAATAACTTGGATGTCAAATTCAGAAAATAACTTGGCAAGTATATTTTTTTAATTTCCAACGCCCTCGGACTAGATTTTATTTATAAACAGCGGGCGACTAAGGTGAAACCAGGTGAAGGCACCCATTTTCATTTATTGAGTTTTTCTTATTTTTTCGCTCCCATTTCATTTAATACCCCCGCCGTTGCTTTTCTATCTCAAAATCCGAGACTTTCTGATGTACGAGTAATTTAAATCGGAAATGTGTTTGATTTGTTTGAAAAAAATGCGATCGTTGGACGTCGGCCAGATAGCCTATCTGTCTATTACACACGTTCAGGATATAAATAATAATAACCTCCTGGCACTCGGTGTAGGTAAATTAGGTACAATACGTTCCAAAATAACGTCCGACTTATCAACAGGCGTAAAGTCCTTATTCAAAATACAAATTACGGACGAGGATAGTTTGAAAGAAATCCACCGAGTAATGGCCTAATAGTTTCGTGCACTCTAAATATTTACTTCTGCAATCAACACAATTTAAGCATTTAATTATTTTTCCATCTAGCTCAATATATTTTGTTCAGTAATTTCTTCTAAAAATAATATATCTACTCGATTAGTCCAACTCCCGTTTAGAATTTTAGATGTTATTTGTTAAAAAACGAAAAATGTCTATAGGACTTGTTTCTTAATTACTTATTATTCTCTGTGTATGTAGTTTGTATATTGTTTAAAAATTACATAGTTATTAATATAATTTACCTCAAGGATAATTAATATTAAAAGTCATCTCTTAAGGATGATAAGAATATTAACCGAAGATATTTTTACCTCAATATTGAGCGTAGATTATCAAGCCATTCTTTCTGTATTGTGTGGTAAAAAATAAAGACCGTTTTCACGTATGTATATTTTTACAGATCTAAAAAAATATTGTTTTCTACAAATTTAAAGCTATGAAAAAATAATTAAATAAATAATTCATGAAAATGTCAATTATTCAAGATACCTAAAACGTTTTAAGCTAATACAACCGGAATTATACCGGATTCAAAATTAAATTTGTAAAGAACCATCAGTCCAAGTGTTCGGTATACACATATAAATATGTCATCTAAGTTCATGCGAGCACTATCTTTTTACGTGCATGCCGAATGGTAAGAAAAGAATTAACTTACATAAATAGTAATAAAAATAATAAAAATAAAAATGTATTGTCATTATTTCATTAATACTTGATTATGAAATTTATGAACATTGAACATGTTTGGTGGGGCTTATTATAGTATTATCTTTACATATTATACAATATTGTAAGGTAACATAAAAATGTTGATAAATTATCATTTTTCTCGCTAATTCGTACTATATCTATGACCTAAAAATATAATACAAGGTCGACCATACACTATTCTAATTTCTAACTATTGCCAAATTTAGGAGGAACAAGACGAACACTCAGATTTTGGTCTCCATATACATAGTTTGGAATTTTTTTCTATTGAGTTTTTATTTTTTTCGTTCACGAAAAAAACTCTAATCAATACTATCGTCTAATATAATATACATAATAATAATAATAATATATTTTTGAAAAAGCATAACAACTTAAAATATTCAATGTTTAGAATAGTTATTTTATTTTGTCATGTTTTTTAATGTTACAGCACACTGTGTTAGTTGCCAAAAACAGTCGTATTTTTTATACAATAGATAGTGCAGCGTAGGGTTAACAAAACGAGTTTTTTTTCTATATTTAAGCCAAAACATCAACTGCGTCGTGATTTCAAAAGAAACTGAACTGTGTGGATTTCGAATACATAGCGCTGCCTGCAGTGAAGCCATTGACTCTGCTTATTGTTCCGAGTAAAAGGAAGAATATCTCCTGTATATAGCTGCCCATTAGTAGAGAATTTCATCGGATTCGAGATCAGAAGGTTCCGGAAACCCCTCTGGGAACCAAAGTCTGGGACAATTGGTCCTCGTCGACCCGTTACCCCCAATAGATCAATATTTATTCGTTTAATTTCTGTGAGTAAAATAAAAAAATATGCATAATACTTATGTAAACGTATAGAACTGAATACACCGTTTCATTCGGATAAACGATATATTTTAATTTAAGCAAACGGTTTTGTATTTTATAATATAATTTAAAACGTGAAAGGTTATATTTTTAGATATTATTCCGAACAGGCGTGATAGTTATTGATTTTGTAAAGTTTTTGTGTAATATATTTGGTATTTTATCGGTCACAACTTAAAAAAATAAAATCACAAAAATGTAAGTTATATATTGAAAATTTAATTCAGATTATTATACCTACTATAATAATTTGTCAAGAATTAATATCGGTGAAGTAAATAGTATAATACACAATGTCTAAATAACTTTTTATTTATTTATTGATCATATTGATAACATGCCTATCTATGATGGATGTCCATAATCTTCGTGAAAAATAAATAAATAAGCAGTGTACGTAATATTGTTTTTTGACCTAAGTTTAATGTTATATTAATGATTATTTTTGAAATATGATTATATTGTATCATAATGATGTATGTCTCACACTAACGTTGTCCATCAAACGCCCCTAGCCATTCTTTCTTACCCCTTTTTAAAAATATATTATTAAAATTTTGTTTGGTCGTTTCAACATGGTAGTGAAGATTGATACAAAATTAAAGTTGCAGATTCATATCATATTGATATTGACAGAAAACTCAGTACTTACCTACTCAAATTAAATTTTAATTTTGTTTTACGTCGTTCGTCTGTCTCGATATTATATTTTCGTTCTTTTAAAATAAGAACAATATTTCGAATTTAACATGATAGCTATAACAATGACAGGTCATTTAATACATCCAAAGCTTTCTACCGTGAGTATGTGTTAGTGCTTTCCAGTACGCTGAACCACATGTTATATCAAAGTTATGAAATTGAATGTGTTTTTTTGAAAACTGTTCGAGATGACAGATTATTGCGATGACCGTTGCAATATAGAGTCCAGAACGTCATTAGTTTATGTTTCTTTTCATACTTTTTTTTTTTTAGACAGCTTGTTTTTTAGTATTAAATTTCTCGGATTAGTAAATACTAATTAAAATATGCCGTCTACTTGGAAAAAAAAATGTATAATATAATATAAAATTCTTAATTAATTTAAAGTTAATTTTAGCTTTTTTAAAAAATGCATACCATCTACTTACATTAAAATAAATAAAAATTGTAACGTTGCCTATATACTCCATAGCTATTTTTCAGTACAATGATAATTAATTGATAATGATATGTTATAAAATGTCCACATTGCATCATAATAATATATTAATGTTGTAATACAAAATGACACGACACATGAATAAATGCTTAAAAAAATGTATTAGACTCAACAGAAATAACATATTACTTATTAATATAGATTAAAATATTGTGTTTAATTTAGTTTACCCACTTAACATAATATTATAATGTGAACTATATATACTCACGACAATATACACAATTTCACTACATATATTATATATATATACATTGTTTTTGCATCGTAAGTATCCTACACAAATAATACGAGTTGACTGCGTTGTCGTACCGATTTTTCATTTATTGAAAAACGTAATCATGTTTGATTAGGACAGAAAGGTTTCTAAAGAAATACAATTTCTATCAGAACACATTGAAGTCCCCTGCAAACAATCAAATACCCCGAAACGAATCACATTCTTCCAGTTATAATAATATTATTGTAAAGCGGGTTTTCCGTCCACCTCGCCCAAACTATTAAAATATATCGTTCGCTGGCGTCTGAGCAACAGTCCTCGTGATTACCGATGGACGATCGCCATCGTCGTGTCGTGCATCAGAGTTCAATTCATCCACCGTCTTGGACATACCACGGAGGTGTACACGTCACGATATGGAGGTTGATGATTAATAATTGTAGTCAGGCAGATTCCGAGGTCTATGACTCAATGAGATTAAGGCGAGTGGACATTATCTGCAGTTGTCACCGAATGGCTTTTGGGCTCAACTACATCTGAGTATCGGTATTTCAGGGGTGGGTGGGTTGAAAATATTTTTACTGCCCGACCCCGTCTTGGACACTCGAGTGGCCACTCGGCCTCGCGTCCTCCGATGAGGTATACAATTCTTAAGGGTTAACTCCATTTTGCAGAGATCGAATCACCGTTACTGGCTGCAAGCGTTAAAATTATAAGCCCATAGACGAAGACCCGACAACAGTCGTGGACTGCACTCGAAAACCTATCGTCTACAGTACCCACTGCACCCACTGCGTCTTAGCGAACACCATGTTTTTACTATGAGATATTTTGTGTAAAATGTTTGCCGCAAGCACAACTTGTATCGTATAGTGGGCATACTTATTATAAATTACACTATTATTAAAATTAGCGAGTGTGTGTACGCACATGTGTGTACTCATTTTTTCCACGTCTCTCCTCCTCGTGTCCGTCCACTGTCGCCGCCACCACTACCCCCACCGTCACTGCCTCCGCCGCCTCCACCGCCCACCGCCACTCTCCTCGGGCGGGTACTCTTCGCACCCCCTCCCCCCCGCCTAGCTTTTCCGGAAGACACCACCGCCGAAACTGGGTCATTGTCTCCGCGGGTGGCGGCGGGGGTGGCACGCGCGTGGCCACACGGTGTCGCACCGCTAGACCGCGCGCGCGTCCCCATGCGTGGTGGCCACCGGCGAACGCGCGCGCCGCGACAACCCGAGCGTTGCCGGCAGTCTGCCGCGGACCATTCATCCCTGCCATTCGCCGAGCACGCGTTAAACGCCGTCGCGCGAGCGCCGCCCCCCCAGTTCCCCCGCTCGCGAGATTTCCCGCGTGACGGTTGCGTCTCACTAAAAATTATACATCTGTCTAGTTTTTGCGGTCTATCTCGGAGTTAATTTTTGTTACTTGTTTATTTGTTTTTCGTTTTTTTTTTTTTTACCATCGTTATTTCATTAATATTAATAATATATACAGTTTACGACTACTATTACCACCACCACTGATACTACTATAAGACTACTTCTATTTTGTTACGACTTTTACCATACTACCACTATACCAGTACTTCGACCATCATACCACGAGCTTCACGACTATTATACGTAATTCAAATTAAATAATATCGTTGTTATATTGGACAGTCGCGATACGACAACAATTATAAACGCCGTCGTCGCTTCGTGGGAAAACGAAAATTGAACTTCTCAAAGTGTGTTTGTCTGTTTTTTATATCGGGTAGTTTTTTTTTTTTATTTCCGACGCGATCGGGACCTCAAAGTTAGTTTTAAATAAAGTCGGTACGAACAATTTCGTGATCGCCTTGTGTGCACATCTATGAGGACGCGGTTGGGGCCCCGACTGTTGGTCGTGGACCTGAAACCGGTTTCGCACTGGATGGAAACGGCCTCAGTGCCATCAACGTCACCATAACACAGGTCAGTTTGTAAATCAATGATTATTAGGCATCCGGTGTTGTTGTCACCGTGGACGCTTGTACAAACATGTGTAGTTTGATATATGTTATCTGTCAACTTAAAATATGTGTACAACTATACAGTACAATTTTTAAAATTAAATAATGGTCGGTATTATTATACCAATAATAATTCAACATTATAAACATAATAATATTTTGTTAGAAAAATGTCCAATTAAATTGTATAGCCAATGTGGGTGATACATTTGAAATGTTCGGTATTATTCGTTCTAATTCCACAAAATAAATTCAATATTTTAAAAATGTAATATAATATTATGTGTATGGTAAATACATTATTTTTGAATAATTGTTTTAAAAAATAGAGCTGAAAAAATTGTTTATCATAATATAAATAAAAAGCTTAGTTCTTTATATGAGTTGTAGCATGCAAGTATTTTCAAGTATAAAAAAAACCTAATTATTTTATTGATAGATATTTATAACAGTAATTATTTTGCTTTGCAATAACATAATTATAGGATAAGTTAAAACATAAAAGTAATATTGCAGGCAACAAGTAATTGAAGAATAACAAACACGTTTAATTATGCACACCTACTATGATAATAGTATTACAACCTACCTCAATAAATTGAACAATACGTCGTTGTATAAGTAATGTGGGCATCGAAAATCAAAATATTCCATTTTATGAGAACACATAAAGTTTTAAAAAAAAAACGGATTTATTGTACATTTTACGACAAGCCTTCGCTAATTATGGTGAATTTATTTTAAATAAAACCAAACTTATAGAATCAAGAAAACAATTTAACATAACTTTATGTTTTTATCGATATATTATTATTATTAAAGTTACTTATAGCTAAGACGCATATGACCCGTGGCTTTCCAAGACCTATAAAACCAAGAAAGATTTAACTGCTTTCTGTATGTCCCTTCTCTGTTTTTTACTATTATTATTATCATTATTTTAATGCACCGGGCGTGTTCTTGAAAGGAATTTTTATTTCATGTCTGTGAACGTAAGGGATTACAGTCTTATAATCCTACGGTGTTTCAGCGAAAACATTTTTGGCTATAAAGTTGTATGAAATAATATATACTTAGACCAAAAATTAAAATAAATTATGCATTTTCATGAGTTTAAAACACGAAATTACTTTTAATTTTTTGTAAACATTTTTAGTTTTTTTATCCATGGACGTAAAAATTTGTGAAAAATGATTTAATTTTTTTTTTTAAATATTTACAGCTATATGATTTTGTTTATTGGTTCAAATTCGCATGTTTCAAACATTCGTTCTACTGGGTATACCTAGTATAATATATTACATATAATTTAAATTGATAAATCGTAAGATGAGTCGGTCAAGTTGGTAATAATTGTTTGCAGGCATCAATGTTTAATTTCATTAAGTACATATTGTGTGATCACTAATCAGTTACATTATTTCTTACTGTAGAATATTATATTATATTGATGAATGCATTTTTTTACTTGGGTTTGCAATCTATAGTTATAATTATTAAAAATACCTTTATTTGGTTTAATTTTAAAGTTTTTTCTTATGAAATTTTCTCAGACATTTATTATGCTAATGAACTAAATTATTTAATGTTAACAAATTATATTTATTCTTATATTTTAGTTAATATTACATAGCTATATTTATACAAGACCATAGAAAATAGCATTAAAAAAATTAAAAATAGATAGGTTATATTATAGATGTATATAATTGTAGTTAATATAAATATCAAATGTCAAAAACGTAAAGGTTTCTGTTTCTTTCGATTTATTAACTATGCTAATTTGAAGACATTATTAAAACAACATCAAACATTTCTGAAACAAAATAAAAATTACAATTTGAACGGATTACATTAAATAAATACCAAAAAAAAAAACCAATTTTGAAAAAAAATGCTTCTAAATATTTTATTCATAATAGATAAATATACAAATAGAAAAATATTCAACGTACAATAATATTATATACCTTTGTATATTTAATTTTATGCCTACTTAAGGTTGTGCCTAAAGTAAGACCAATTCATACATTTTACTTTGCTATTTTTCTAATGTTATATAAGTATAACGAACGAGAATTACTAGGAAAGCCTTGTATTTATACTTTCATCGCATCTTTTACACTAAACATCTTTCAAAAATAAATTACAGTTTAATATGAAATTATTACAGATTTAATTCAGTTAAATATGTATATATTCTAACTGCTTATATTGCTGTATGTAATAATTAGCTTTTGTTTAAAAATATCATGCATATGTTTAATAATTACATATTATAGGTATCTGCAGTTGAACATAATTTCTAGGCAATTACGAATATTCAATGTGTTACTCAACAAAACTTTTCTGTGCTTCGCGGCACATTTCAATCAAACAATAATTACGTTTATATAATTATTTGAAAAACAAAACTATTTAAAAGCATCAGCTGCACATCTGAAAGTATTATTTCGGAGGAATCACACATGGGATATTTTTATAATGTTTTTAAAACGTACGCGGTGTGATATTATTATTATTATTATTATTATTATTATTATAGCGTACATGTGTTTGTGTTGTGTACGTTTGTGATCTACAAAAAACGTATACTTAATATTTTACGAACGTTTCGTTCAACAATTATTATTGTATCGTTCACTTCATAATAATATAATAAAATAGTAGTATTACATTTGAAAATGTAAATTCTTCAGAATATCTAAAACGTTTTGAGGTAGTATACAGATAGTCTACCCCATTTCGGAATTCAAAATCAAGATTCAAAATTAAATTTGTTTAGAACCCCATCCGTTAAAAATGTTTGATACCTATATAAATGGTAGGTATGTAATCTATAGATTTATGTGACTTAGGTAAAAAGAAAAACGGCATAAATCAAATTATTTTAATATATGTTATGCGTATGCAGTGGTGGGTGAACGCTTGTGATCTGCAACAATCGTATACCTACTTAATACTTTACCTACGCGTCGCTTAACAATTATTATTGTATCGTTCACGTCATAATAATCTAATAAAATAATAAAATTTTACTTGAAAATGTCAATTCTTCAGAATACCTAAAATGCTTTAAGATAATACAGACACTCTACTCCATTGTGGAATACAAAATTAAGGTTCACAATTAAATTCGTAAAGAATCCTGCATAGTATGTACCAAATGTTCGATATATAATATAATAAATAAATAAATACGTATTTAGTCTATAGGTATATATGTAACTTGTACGAGAAGAAAAAGAAAAAACGGCATAAATCAAATTATAATAGTATTAATATTGTCATGCGCAGTGGTGTGTATACGTTTGTGATCTACAAAAATAATTGTAAGGCAATTAGCAGGTATACTTTGCGTACGCCGTTCGACAGTAATTATTATTATACCATTCACATCATAATAAAGTATAATCTAATAAAATAATAATGAGAGCATACCATATAATATAGACGCACAAACGCAGACAAGTACCTACGCACCTTTGAGGGACACATACACTGCAGCACGGGAAACAAAACGATGTCGACTTCATCTGAAGGCCTCTCGACGTGTAGTGACGGCGATGACAGAAATAAACTGATAGATATGATTACACAGACCGTGACGTCCGTTTGTGATGTCGCGGCTATTTCAGTTGGTGGGCGCCCCCGCACAGCACGTGGTCTACGTCGTCGTAAAGACGAAGACGGCGACGGCGGCGAGAGGAAAAAAAATATCCGGTCGCAGAGTTTAAAAACGAAATCGTTTTAATTCGTGTGTTCGGTTATTAAATCTGCTGTCGCAGATCACAACAACAAACATCCTAGTTGCAGTCACGTAAGCATATTATCTGACCCAACTCTAAAATAATACATGAAAAAAAGTATATAGAGTCCAGCTCGGAAGCCAGCGACCGTTGAACGTGGTGAATCTTGTTCAAACTTACAAAATACTCGAAGTTTGAATGTATTAAACACAGTGGTTCAGTGTGACATTGTGTTAACGCCAAACTATATCCCATAGACATAAACATAATATTGTAATAGTAATACCATACAATTATTATTCTCATTAAACGGTTTCCGAACAAGTTTTAATGGTATTGTACCTATACGTTCAAATATAGTGTCAAACATTAATAATTGTACGCCAAATAATGCATTTAAAACGATCAAAAGTGTTAAACGGTGTTATTTTTGTGCTTAACGATTTCGTGCGATGATAAAATATAACACAAAATAGTGAACCAAACGATTAATCTTAACACAACTTATAGTGAAAAGAAAAAGACGATTAAACAACAATTATTTAAAACATCCCGGAACTGAAAAGTTATTGGCACCAATGATAAAAATAATATACATGTGCGCGCGCTGCATAATATTATAGCACGTGCCTAAACGGCGGTGATATTATGCGTTTACATATGTTTATTTATTTAATCATGTTTGGTATTGCTGCTATAAAAAATGTTTATTTGATTTTTATATTTAAAATACATATACTGCAGTTGTAGGAGCACGTGCGTGACACAAATTAGGTATGCCTCAAGCCGAAGTAATATTATAGGTAATAGGTAGAAGAATTTTATGGGAACTTACTGATGTGGATGATTGTTAAAAAAAAAAGTAATATAGATAGTACTATTACGATCAACTATAAGAATATATTAATAGAAATACAAAATATGTGAAAATACTAATACATACAGTAAATAGTTAGGTATTCTTAAAAATGTAAAAATTGAGATTGCGCAATATAATTTCCGTTTTATTTATACTTATAAAATTAATTAATCGGGCTTATATTAATAATATTGCGTGCATGATTAATTACAGTTTCTATATAATACGTAAAAGTGATCATTTTTAACATGGCGCTGACTACCTACTTGAATCTAAATTTATTTTTATGTGATAAATAAAATTGCATTTATGTTCTTGTAAAAATATTTATAATGAACATGGATGATGTATATT